TCTGGCGGAAAGACCTGGCTTGAGGTCTCTCGGGAGAAGCAGCGTGGCCAGTTCTTCAAGGGACTTGCCAAGGTCCAGTGAGGCTGATGTAGAAACACAACAGCTCTGTCCTCAGTCTGGGCGGCCAGCTGGGGCCGCACGTGTAAGTTGTGATTCTATTTGACTTTCCAAATCAAAGTGCATTGATTGAGGCCCAAAGAGATCACAGAGCATAACTGTCTTAATTAAACCTGCTATAGACAGACAAATCACTTCTTGCTCTTATAAATAGTGCTTGGGGAGATGGCACAGGATCTGGTAACAGCCAGGCTTGGGGGACACTCTTAAAAAAGGAAAAGAGTACCGAGACGCAGAAAAAGAATAAAAGTGGTTTCCACATCTTCAGAAAATAGCTGAACTGAAACCAAAACATGGCATAGAAGGCAGGTAATGAGGGAGACCCTAGGTTCCCAGAGCAGCTCAGTGGAGGTGGGTAGCCCAGGATGGGACCAACAGTGGAAAAGCAGGGAGCCCGAGAGACCACAGGTTGTTTGGAGGAAGTCAGGTGCCCATTGCTGAGGCTCTGAGCTACCCTACTTAGCCCTGCGCTTTCATTGCCAATCCACCATTCCCTGCCACTGATCTCAGCGTCCTGGTACTGAGAGACAGAGATGGAGGACAAGTCCTCCTTTAACTTGGCCAGCTTGGGGGACAAGGGCTGACCACCAAGAGCCCAGAGATGGCAACAACTGGGGATGGTGGGTGATCACAGAATTCCAGCAGGGAGCAGATGGGAAGAAAAGTTGTCTCTGATATTCTGGGGAAGCAGAAAATGGGGAGTATGTACACCCACAGCTCAGATCCTGCTGCAGCCAAGTGCCAACAAGGACTGGGGGACGATCTTGGGAAGAGTCAGGTGCTCCTACTCCAACTTTTGAATGTCCAGAAGAGGTTAGGTGGGTGGTGGCTCTGGGAAGAATGGGCAAGATGCCCTTCACTTGGAATGTACAAAGGGCCCAATCTGTCTCCCAGTAACTATGAGTCTCTGGAAGTTACCTGGCAGGGGCAACTCTCAGTGGACTTCGGGTCTTAAAGCCTAAAACCAGACGAACTAAGGGAAGCCCATCAATCTTCTAGCTAAAAGTGTAAAGGAAAGGTTGTCTATAATATGTAAATACAGGAGATATAAGTGCACAGGTTTGGGTGAGTTCCTGATAACTTCTGGAGCCAGCTTTTCTGTGGTCTTGGTTTGTAAACTTGACTTCCCACTTCTTTTCATTGACTATTTAGCGTATGACTCCAACAATAATCTGATTCAGAAATACTCTTCATTTCGTTAGGCTAACATTCACAAGCACTAGTTATGTTGGAATTGATAAAGAATTTAGGTAAATTTTAGCACAATACTTTTCTAAAAAATCTCTTTAAAAGTGTCTAACTTCCACACAACAAAAATGAAAAAGGTATATATCACTATGGTTGGAGGGAAACATTCTTAGATTGCTTTTATATTTCAGAGATTTTGTATATGTGCCAGCAACTCCGCAGATACTAAGAAATGGGTTATTTGCAGTTATTGTTCATGATAGTTCTTTTATATTTTTAAATTGCGGCATGGCTCCCAGGTGGAAAAATTCCTTAGAATTAAGAACTGTTTTCAAGAAGATTGGAAAACCAAAAAGAAATTATAATGTGTTATCATATAGAAGTCTTTACTGAAAACAACGGATATTGAGTTGAAGTCAGAATGTAATGAAAGTTAATTAAAATGCAAACTATTAGGGAAACACTGCAGATGTCTTTCTATCATATCCAACCGGACCATCTTTAGACACTCCACCCTCTCTTATACTTGTATTTTGAGACTTGAATGGTTGTCAACAGTTTTCTGTTGACAGAAATAACAACAGTTCACCTTTGAAAACTCTTCACTCAAAACTACAATGATGATTGCTCTTGAGAGGAAGGACTTTTGAAACAAATAACTTTCACACATTCACACTTACACTTGCACACCCCAAACGCACACGCAATTGCCGGTTTTTGAAAACGTTGCCTCTGAATGAGAGACAGAGAGAGAGAGAGAAGAGAGAGAGAGGGGAGAGAGAGAGAGAGAAACTGGAACTCGAGCTTAGGTAACCAACAAACCCAATTACTAGGCTTTATTGATACTAAAAGGAAAAGTTCCCCTCGTAAAATTTCTCTGAGCTTATTAGTTATTTAAATCAGCCCCAGGGCTGGACGCGCAACGCAGCAGGCACCTTCTGTGGGCTCCTGGAAGTGAGCAGCCAGCGTCCTCGCGCCGACCTACCGCCCTGGCGCAGCGAGCCGAGGTGAGCCACTGACCAGGGCTCAGGGCCCGGTACGCCGAGACAGAGCTCCGCGTGGCCTAGGGTAGGACACTGGGGATCAGACTTTGGAAAGGAACAGGTCCCAGTCAATAATAAGGGATAAGCGTGGAGGCCAAGAGGCTGCGGGGCGCCGCAGCTCAGCGGGCCAGCTGCGGGGCTCCCCCGACCCGGCCAGAGCGCGGGTGTTCACGCCGTGAGTCGCGCGTAGGGCCCATCAGACCTCCAGGGCTCGCTGCTGTCTTGGGTGGGTCTGAGAGCTTTGCAATTCGGTGTGCACCAGGTTAATTTACACCTTTCTGGGTCACTGTCTCAAGTTGGCAACCCCTCTTTGTGTGTGTGTGTGTGTGTGTGTGTGTGCGCGCGCGCGCGCGTGTGTGAATAGTGTGTGGGGGGGTGTAAATAGCTGAATTTATTGAAAACAAACCCCAGCCTGCTCAGTGAAGTCCTCAAGCCCGACACGGGGTTCTCAAGTCCAGATGTGGCACAGGGACCGCGCGAGGTGAGCCCTGTTCCTCTGGGCTTGCCTGCAGGACCGGGTGGGAACGCACAGCGGGGTGAGGAAGAACTGAGCCCAAGTCGCCGCCGTCACAGCCACCTGGGCCTTTCCCGGAGGCCAAGATCTTGACGGACTGAAAGGGTGTCCGAGGGGATTCGTGAGACCGAGAAAACAGACGAGGCGCCAGCTCCGGAAGCCCTCTAAGTTGCCCCCAACTCCGTACGAGTTTGGGCCGCGGGATACACTGCCCTTCTCGTCCCTGGCTCCAGTAGGTATCTGGGACCTTGGGTCCCACAGCCGGCTTTCTCGTCCTCTCGGCGTGGACCCGCGTGGGCCCACGGCCGCAAAGCGTTCCGGAGGCAACTGCGGTTTGGGCCCCCTTGGTCCTGGCTGCCTGAGCTTGCCCGCCCCTACGAGGGGTGGGAGCGAATTTCGGGACGCTGGCCGGCCTGTCTGAAATTTGGGGTGGGGACGGGGTGCTATGGCTTGAGGTTTCCAGGTGTGCTTTTCAAGGGGTTGTGGCAAACTGTGGGCGTTCGCATTTTGCACGCGCCAGCGCGTTTCTGTGTTGAGTGGCCGGTGGTACCTTGGGCCAGGAGCCTGCCCATCCCCCGCCACATCCTTAACCCGTGGACTGCAGGCGACGCGGAAGAGTTGGCTCCGGGAAGCAACGGGCAGAGCTGGCTCCGGGAAGCAACGGGCAGAGCTGGCGCGGAAGGTTTCGGCCTCAGCCCACGCGGTGGCGCTGTCGGGAGAGGACGACGGGGCTCGGGGCCGGGACCCGGGCACTGACCCGGGCTGTGACCCGGGCTCCAGGGTGGTAGGACCTTGACGCCAAGCCGAGGCCTCGGGGCTCTTCGCAGCCACCTTAGGCTTGAGATCCTCTGCCTCTCTCCGTGTTTCCCTAAGGAAAACGCAGCGGGTCGGGAGCGCCACCCCGGGCTCCAACTCCCGCCGCTCCGAGGTGGGGGCGGAGACGCAGCGGCGGCTCCTCAGGCGCTTCTTTTTCTTCTCCCCTTGCCTTGTTGCCCCGGCTTACAGTCGATTTTTGTAAGTGAACTAGATGAGCAGGGCGGTCATTCTCTCGCAGCGCGGTTGCAGAAGGACACCCACCTATTACGCTCTGGGCTCCGCTAAAGAATGAAGGGCGCCCCGTGGGGCGTTGCCCAGTGTGGCTAGGGTGGTGCTCGAGGCCGCAGGACCCCCCGCCTTCCCAGGCCCCCAGGCCCGTGGCCGCGGAAGTGACACCCATATCTCCCACCAACGACTCCCCCAGCTCTGAATCTTATCTTCTTGCTTCTTCCCCCGGGTCAGGCAGTGCCCACACCCGACGCCTGTCTCCTACCCCGGAGACCCCAGAGCAGAAAGCTCCCTGTCCTCGCCCGAGGCAGCTCCTGGGCAGACTTTGGCACCTCCCTTCCCGCCCACCCGGCCCCTGCGCGGCCCGCCTCGCTAGCCCCTGACCCTCGGGCCTCTGGGGTGCTGGGCTCACCGCCTAGCGCCGACTCGTTGCCCACCGTCCTTCCCCACCAGTCGTCCCCTTGAGGCGCATCTCTCTGCTCCGGCCGCAGGGGCTCGTTCGTTTGGGGCCCGGAGGAGGACCTCCACCGTCCCTACCTCCGGCGGCCAACGGCTTCCTCCCCGCTCCGCCCCCTCCCAGGCCCCCTGAGCCACCGGGGGAACCTGGAGTCATTTATCTTTGCCTTGCGCGGGTTGGGATTTGTCCGGCTCTGATGCCAACGAGGAAAGCGTGCGGATAACGAAGTAAGTGTCCCTCGCCTTGCGCTCGGGTCAGTCCCCAGACGCCCGGAGCACTCTGGGAAAGGGCTCAAGCCCACCCGGGGCGAACGGTCCTCCAAGGCGCGTCCCCCCCCACTCCCCCGGGGCCCCTGGCTCTTGTTCTCTTGGCGCATCCGATTTCCAGTCTAAGCCCCTCGCGGTTATGCCGTCCGAGAAAGTGTTGGTCGCCAACTCCCCAAGGACAGTCCGCGGCGGAAATTGGCTTCAGAGCTGGCGTGGGCTTCATTTGAAAGAAATGATTCCCTCCCGCCCTCCTCCCGCCCCCAGTAGGGCAAGCTCCGGGGGAAGAGGCAGGCCCGCTTGGGTTCCTAGAAGCCGTCGAAAGCTTTTGACGCGGGCGGTTCCCAAAGTTTTCCCTGCTTGTTCCAGGGTGGAGGGAAAACGCGGCACAACTTTCCAGGGCTCTTTAGGAGGCAGGGTCTCTCTGCTGGGATGGCCGAACTTGAAAGCCTTGGAGCTTGGGGAAGGATGCCCGACCCTCAGAGTTTCGGGTGGCCCAGGCGAGAGCCGAAGTCCCGCGCCGGGCACCCTGCACCCCGGCGCCCAGGCCTACGCTGTCCCCGAGCGGGCCTCTGGGAAGGAAGGTTGACCAGGGTCGAAAGCAAGCACAACAAAAACTTAGTGTTGACAAAGAGAAATCAAGAAACGTCATTAAATGTGCAGGCCATAGAAGAAGAAGGCCTCACAGAAAAGGAGAGAAGATAGAAATAAAAACCATACACCTTTAAGACTAGCATATAAAGATCTGTCGATTTTTAAAATAACAAATCTGTGTTTGTGAAAGACAGGCAGCCTTTTACTAAATGACACAAGAAAAACTTGGGGGGTGGGTGAAGAAAAGGGGAAAAGTCTGAGCAGATTCCCGACGAAAACGTCGGTTAGAAGGAAACTGAGGGATAAAAATGTCCCCTACATGTGAACTCTGTGTTTTGAGCACGGAAGCAGACTATCTCCTAATGCACAAAATGGGTTTTAGATAAAAGTATTTTTAAAAATCGAGCGTAATTAAAACAATTCTTTCGTGTGATTTTGTTTTAAAAATGTTTGGAAATAAACCATTTGAGGGATACAAAACGAAACCAAACAAATATTTTTGAATCATCAAATTTATTTACTGTTTTAAACAGTAGAAAATCCGAGCGAAAGGTAAAAATATTATTTAAAATATATCTTATTGTCGAAATTAAACCTGCTGGAAATATTCGCTCAGTTGAGATAAGGTCAATACAAAAATTGTGCAGTAAAAAGCGTATGTAATTTGAAACAGAAAAGGCCTTTATTGGGGACAAAACTCCAGAGGAGAAAAACCCACACCGGACATACATCACAAAACTTCCTAGAACTCTCCTTTAAATCGAAATAAATTTGTAAAATGTGTTATGAAATACAACTCTACAAACATCCAAAATACATTTCTGGTCATAATTAATCTAATTTGACATTTTACTCTTTCTTTAATGCAACTTTAAATAATTCAGGCTTTTCCTTAACATGATAGATTTTTTTTCAGTATCAGAAATGGACAAGAGGAAACTCCAATAAAGAGAAAATCAATGAATCTAAAAGGATGAAGAATCTGAAAACCAGCTAGCCACAATGTACATTTAATTGTATTAATTGTATATTTCATTTAAATAGCCCGTCTCAGAGGTTAATAATTTAGAATCAATAGTTCCCTTCAAAACATAATAAAATATTTACACTTTATAAAATATTAAACGATTAACAATACAGCCATGTTGTTTATAAGAGTGTAACTGAAGTCCTGCAAATCATGCTGTTGACACAAGCCTGTGAGGTTAGCGAAGTGATCCTTAGTAAAATGTAAATGAAGATCTTCAGACAGTGGTGTTTATAAAATAGCTCATTAATGACTTGGGATTGAATCGCTCCAACCATTCGCATCATCAGATATAATAATAGTGACGAATCAGACAGGAAAGATCCTGGCTAAACCATTTGCATTTTTTTCCAGAAGTACTGAACTCCTAATATCACCAATTCTTCTAAATTCCTGGACATTGATCCGGAGGAGGATTCGCAGTTCAACATCAAGGTAAGGAAGGAAACAGCATTGTTATCGTTGTTGAGATATTAGTAAGAAATACGTCTTTCCTCATGTTGTAAACCGGCTAAGTTTGACAATGGTAGTTGGCTTTTGCAACACCCCCTTCCCATTTCGACATATTACAGATTGAAAAAAAAGTTTGTTGCTCAAACTTACAGTTTGTTTCTTTGCAGCCCCAAACCTTTTAACTACCACCACGGGTTGATTTACTAGAGCCACTTTGCTCTTACCGACTTCGAACTGGGCATTTTCTCCAGCCGGTTTGACTGGGGGTGGGGTGCAGGGGGAGGATGGGGCTTGGTGAAGAAAACCAGGGAAAGGCAAACGGTGCCTAAAGTTCCCAGGGTGGCTCCCCTAAGATTTACTATCCTGCTTGTTTCTTTTCTCGCTGGGATCCGACAGACTCCCGGGTCGCCTGGGGCTTCTTTCGAACTTGGTGGGCGGCGCCTAGGTGCTGGGTTCTTGGTGATCTGGGCGCCGACTCTTAGGCCCGGGGCAGGTTTCCTTTCTGGGACCCTTTCTCTTCCAGAGGTTCTGAAGCCTCTCAGCCTGTGCGCCTGCCGCCCACCAGGGAGATGCGACGAGTCGAAGGCAGCCTTGTCCCGGGCACAATCGGCGGACTCAGCTTTCCAGTCTGTGCACCCAGCCGGGATTTCCAGAATTACTCCCGAGCGCGTTTCCCGAAACCGAACTGAGTTTGGCCCTCTGGCGCCGCCGTACAGTCGACGCTTCTTAAGGGGGATCGGTGGCTCTGGCGGCGAGAAGTGGGAGAGCCCTCGGGGTTCTGGGGATTAGGAGGGAGAGTAGGCTTGTGCGGGAGGGACCGGAGGCGCCACCAGTTGAGGGGCTTCTCTGGCCTCAGGGCCGGCGATGATGCGTCCACATTTTCTCACCTAAGTTCCTAGCGGCTAAGGTCCGCCGACGCCCCGGGCATCTCGCGGGGGCTGCCGCCCCTGCCCACGTGCTTTTCCTTAAGGAGGCACCGCGCCCAAGCGGAATCGCAGGGACAATAGCGCGGCCGGAGGCCAGCCTGCTTGGCTAGTAGCCGCGCCACCTTAAATGAGCACCGCAGCCGGAGTCGGGCTGCAGCCGGCCGCGGCCGCGGGAGTCGGGAAAAGTTTGTGGCTCTGTTACGCTTTCGCGGGACCTGCTGGGGACGCTCCTGTACGGCCTCCCTCAGGGCGGAGAGGCCGGGTCCTCACGGCACAGCTCTGCTCGCTCCCGCAGCCCTGGGCTCGAGCAGCGCGGGGTCCCCAGGAACCCTAGTCCTGTAGCTCGAGGACAGGCAGACCCACCGCCCTCGCCGCCACCGCGTCACGGGCTCCAGGCGGCCGGGTCTGCGCCGCTCGCAATGTCGCCGGAGCGGCGAGCGCTCCTGGGATGCCATCCAGGGATGCACCCCGCTCTGCGCCCACCACGCAACCCCCATTCCTGTGCCACCCACAGCCCGGCGGGCGGTGGCCGTGCTCCTGCCATTCGGGACACCCGGGCTATTGTTCCGGACTCGCGGCCGTGCCAGCTCTGAAGGAGAAGCGGCCTTCCCTGCGCGCGCCGCGGCACAGAGCGCGGCGGGCCGGGACGCTGGGCTAGGCGCTGAGGGGGAGCTAGCAGGCACCGGGAAAAGTTGCTCGGAGGGGCGGAGGCGGTGGGTGGTGGGCGGAGGCGGTGGGTGGGGGAGGCGATCGCCCTCCTATCTCCAAAGTCGAAAGTACTCCGCGCAGTTAACAGAGCTGGGAGCCGAGGCAACCGCGGTCGCCTCCTGCGCGTCGGTCTGCGCCTCCGCCGGCAGACGCGGCACCCAGCGACTGCCGTGTCGCCGCCGCCTCCGCGCCGGGACCAGTGCGTCTACGGGCTGAGCGAGGCGGCCGCGCCCTGGACCCGCCACAAGGAGGAGGACCAGACCCTGGGCCCAGGTGCCCGGCTGCGCCCAGACGCACCCACCCGCTGGCCGCGGCCACCGCCTCGCGCCGCACTCGGTCCTCTGCCATCGGTCCTTCGCTGCCTCGTGCGCGAGGTCCTTGTCACCCCGCTCCTACCGCCGACTCTCTCCTTCCTCCTCCTCCCTCCTCCTTGCCTCCCACCCGCCCCTGGCTTGTCCCTCTGCCTCCTCCGAAGCCCCGCCGCCGTAGGGTCGCCTTGCTCACAGCGATTGATTGATTGATGTTTAATTTCCTGCCAGGCGGGGCCCCCCTCCCCCTGCAACCTCCCCAACCCTCCTCCCCGCCCCCCACTCCCCTCTTTTCTTGCGGTGGACCAGTCTGGCTTGGGTTTAGATCCATCCCCCCCACCCCCATCCCGAAATAACCCAGAGACTTCCCCTACCCCCACCCCAAATTATTATTTTGAAGGCGCTAGATCTGGGGACGGAAAGGGGGAGGGGGAGAAATCGGAAACCGAGGACAACCCAAAAGGACTCACTTTGCCTGATGACTCAACGCAACTAATAATCATCTCCCTCTCAGTGTGTCTTTCTCTGCGGCTTGTCAGTGAGTCCGGCTCTGGCTGCTGGCAGAGGCGGCCGAGAGGGGAAAGGCTGGAGGTGACAGCTTGGGCGGCCGCCGCCGTTTCCTCCTGCGCGCGGTCCCGGGTCCCTGCGCCTTCTCCGCTCTTGGTGTCACCGGTCCCGCCGCTCTGGCCGCGCCTCCTTGCGAGCTAGCGGCTCTGCGAACCGGCAGCCCCGGCCCGCCACCGCCGCCGCCGCCGCCGCTGCCTTTGGGTTCTCAGTCCCTTCTCTCCAGAACGGGTCTCCTTCCCGAAGGTGTGAAAAGGCTCTTTCAGCCTCCTTCTCTTCCCCCCCCTCCACCGTCCCCTCCCCCGCTTGCTCGGGTGTCCCTTTGGAGGAGTCCTTTCCCTCTCCTCCTCCTCCCCCTCCTCCCTCCCCCCCATCATCATCATAACAACCATCTCCGCACCAGAAGAAGACACCCTGACCCAGGACCTTAAACGTTAGGACCTGGGGAAGAGGGAAGGGGAAGGAGTAAAGAGAAAGGAAGAAGACTAGGAGAATACTGCAAAACCAAGCACCAGAAACTTTCCACCCTGGATTCTCTACTTTTGCTCCATGGACAGAGCCCCAGCCAGCCAAGTTTCAGACAGACCGTGAGCAGTAAGTACGCAGGGTGAGGGCTCCCGCGCCGCGCTCGGGAGTTCGGGGAAGCCCGGGGCCGGCGAAGTTCCCTCCCTGCCGTTCTCGGCCTCTCGGACCACGAAATCGGGGAATGCAAGCGGAACCCTCGCTCGCTCGCAGCCCTCCTGCTCCGGGTCTTCATCCCGCTTCCTTCCTTTCATCTCCCCTCTGCCACCCCCACCTTGTCCCCTTGACCAGTGGCGCCGACTTTGCTCGCACGGCGAGAGTGCCCAAGAGGATTCCCAGCGCACAGTAAGGTGCCTGCCCGGGTCCTGCTTCTTGTGGGTGTTAATGACAGCACGAGCGCCGTTTCATCAGGTGTTTTCCCTCCTTCCCCGCCCCCCCATCCCCCAATCCAGGGGTGTCGAGACCTGCGGCTTCCATGAGGAGCGCACTGCCAACCTAGTGACCCAGAGGAAAACTTTCTGGAGCGATGTTGAAATTGGGGCGGATGAAGAATGCTCCTGCACTAAGAATTCAAAAGCTTTTTGCTTTTGTGTTTTATGCTGAAGATCTTTTAAAAAAGCATTCAGGATCAGATGAAGATAAGAACGCTCCAGAATAATTGTAGCGCCCGCCTTTGTGATGGAGGTTATTTTGATAAATACCTCTAAGTGTTTTCAGATGCTTATTAATGTGGAATTAGGATTGATTTTATGCAAAGTGTTTATCTCAGGACTTGCTCCGTGTAGGTAAAAAGCGGGCGTTTAAGGGGTTCTTTGCCCGGCCTTTTGGCTCCTGCCTGGCCATTCACAGCGTATTTACCGGGTGGTTAATTTGGTTATGGACTTGCTCACAACCCCCCGCCGCCTACTCCCTTACCAAGTGGGTGGAACGTCTTTTTCTGAAGTTCCTTCCTTCCACAACCGTGACCCTGGGATGGGCTAGGCTGTTGCACCCAGGAACGGTTTATGCCAATCCTGTCCCAATGAATGGACCACTTTTAGGCGCCCCTGGGTGCCAACCCGGGCCGCGACCCCGAGGGCTGACTTCTGGGGAGCTGCGACTGGGCAGAGTCGCTGAACCCAGGCGCTGGGCTTCCTGGGGGCCGCCCAATGTAAGATTGGGACCGGCTTCCCGGCTCGGGCCCCTCGGGCAGCGTGGGAGGAAGTTTGTGTGGCTGTGGTGCAGCGCTCTGCCACTGGCCTGAACGTCTATCACGTGTGTGAGCGGTTTTCCCTCTTTTTTCTCCCTCCCCCTTTCCTCCCCCCACCCCCTCCCTAGGTCCCTGTGCGTTTTATTGCGACCTGCCGGTGGGAACTTTGTCTCCGAGTCGGAGCAGCATGGAGCGGCGGAGCGAGAGCCCGTGTCTGCGGGACAGCCCCGACCGGCGGAGCGGCAGCCCGGACGTCAAGGGGCCTCCCCCGGTGAAGGTGGCCCGGCTGGAGCAGAACGGCAGCCCCATGGGAGCCCGCGGGAGGCCCAACGGCGCCGTGGCCAAGGCCGTGGGAGGTAACAGCCCGGAGCAGGGAGGCGCGCAGCCCGAGGCCCAGTGATAATGGCCCGGGTGTCAGGGTTCAGGTTGATTAGGCACTGTCGCGGTGTAGGATTACAGGAAGTGAATTCCAGGTTGCCAAATAATGCCCCCGTCGCCTCTCATCTGCAACTGGTAGCTTCATCTCGAGTTAAAACAAGAAAGTGGTTTTACCCAGAGGGTGGCATTTTTTGGGCATTTTGCCACCGTGTGCTGAGGTGTTGGCAGGTTTATGTCACAGCCAGCTAACTGTTTCTAGATTTTCCTAGAGAGCTTTTTAGTGATTTAACTCTTTTGCCTTGCCTCAGAGTGTCTGTTGTAGGGATGAAGTTTAGGTGCGTTCGCTTTTAGGGAATAAAATAATCGTTAATACTCAGGCGAGTACAGGAACAAGGACAGTTGATGTTACTTTGTAGTTAGGACAGTGCTTCAGAGACAGATGAGTGACAACTGGGAATATTTCCGGCCAGGTGAAATGTGGGAAATAAAGAATCACCATGAATCCATCAGGCCCTTACAAGCTTAAATGCTGCTGCTGTCTATAAGGTTTAGTTGTATGCATTTGTAACTTTGTTATAAATTATAGGACAACAGGTAAAAATAGCAAAGTAGCCTTGTTAACTATATGCTGTTTTACCTCCCAAGAATTTATTAGTAATTTTACTTAAAGAAAATCTTCTGTAGTTTTTACTACTTAAGCAACTACTTTCTTTTAAAGTGGTCAGGAAAAGCAATCATATAAAATAAAGATATGGAAGAAATTTAAACATTGAAATATTTTGAAGTTTATATGCCATTTGCTTAGTTGTCTTTTACATGTAAAATACGTAATTCTACATGGCATGCAGGTTTTCTGTGCGTTTGGGATAAATTACTAGTTTAATTTTTTTTGCTTGTGATTTTTCTCTCTAAAATTTCAAAAGTAGCCCATTTAATTTAATTCTTCATATTAACCTGTCTTAAATGATATAAAACCTTGGCAAACCTTAATGATAAGTTCCCACCCTCTTGTTATAAGTGTCTATTGTGTGTATTTCAAAGTAGATACCTACTTACCTCTAAAAATGTTCACTACTCTTTAAAGAGTTAAACACGTATGTTTTATAAAATCATTTATTTTTTCTTTTTACTTATTTTGCTATTTCTATTTCTTCATGGTAAGCATGGTTTGTCTCAGTCCTTCATATTAATCATCTCACTTGAGAAGTATTCATCCTTTCAATGTTGTAAATTAAAAAAAAAAATTCGATGATAGATTCTGGCTTGTTTATATCCCCTTTTTGGGATTTGAAAATATACTTCATTGAAGCAAAAGAAAACTTGACAGTTCTGTGACTTACATTTTAAAAGTGAGGCTTATTAATTTGCTGTCCTAATACTGGAGCAAATAATGTCAGACTTTTTGTATAACCATTTAGTATATGCCTATGAGAAAGAAGAATACATAGAGAGTATGATGGTACCAATTATGAGATATGCTAAGTGCTGAAAGTGTTTGTTTGAAAAAGTTTTGGAAATCCTTGGAGGCAGTGTGTTTCAAAGTGGCCTTTGTGGACAGAAAAGGCTTGGACTTAAAAATTTTGGTATCTGTCTGACAATATAAAAAAATTCACTAAATTGAAAGGAGTCTCTAAACATTTTAGAATGTAATTGTTAAGAATTTTGCTTCCCTAAACAATTTTTTCCCCTTCTTCTACATCATATCGAACTATGAAGGAAAGTACCTCATTCTGTTGACCAGGGATACCTTTGGTTTTTGGTTGCTTTTCAGATTTTCCGAGACTACAGTTCACATTTGAGTCCTTATATATTTGCTATAAACTAAAATTATTATCTTGGTGAAGAATAATAGATTCGTTTCAACCAGCTGCACTGGACGCTTTCTCTTAATTAACTGTATTTAGTAATAGCAGAGGTCTTATTAGCTGCTTCCCAAATTGAAAATAAAGATGACATTATTTTGTCTTAATACATATCATTTATAATACTTGATAGTGAAGTGGTTGAAATAGTGTATGTTCAGTGGAATTTAAATTTGTTTTAAAAGAAAGCTTTTACTCTGTATAGTATAATAGATTGTAAAGAGATTAATTTAGACAACTTTGGAGTATAATAGCTTAGAAGATAAGATTTTGATAGTACAGAGCTTTCTAATTGAATGGTAACAATTACTTTATGAGTTTAAGTTTATATAATTTCCAAATGTACATTAAGATGTTAATAATTTCTTTGTAACTTTTAACCATGTATATAGTTTGGAGCAAAGCCAACCCTTTTAAAAATTGCACATTCTAAATTTAAAAAAAATGTTTAAAATTAATTTCTACTCAAAAGTTTTTTGTAATTAAAGGTTTTTTTGAACATAGAGTAAATATAAAGTAGATTATATTTCTACCATTCTATGTTCTTTTGTTTAAATTTTCTACATAAAGCAATATAGTAAGCATAGATAACTACACAAGTATTTGTAGCTCTGTATTATTTATTACCATTTTCAGATATATTGCAGTCGTGTCAATGGTGTAAAGACAGATACAATAAAATTTGTCTTGAAAGTGTAGCTAAAAATTTGGGAGTACATATTTGTTAACCTTTAGTGTTCCTCTTTCTTAAATGCTGTTCTTTTAAAAATAAGGGACATCAAGTTAATTGGATGCCCAATCAAATAGCAATTTATCTTACTGCTTTTGATAAGCAGTGAGGTAAATATATTTTAAATATATTTATGAATGCATTGGCAATAGTAAATTCTACTGCTGTTACTCTACTTGTTTAAGAAGAGGGAATTTGCTGTGTTTTTGGTGAGAACTAAGTATTCATTAACAGGGGGGCATTATTTTAGTGTCTGAATTTAAATAGTAGAAGTGGTAGATACACTGTCACAGTCTTTAAGGTTGTGTTTTATTTAACAGGGGTCTTAAAAGTGTGTTGTTTACAATGTGGTTAGTTTTAGAAGACTGTATGAGAAACTAGATCAGTTTTGCTTTGTCTTTGCAACACTTTCTAGGATGTTTTTGCTCTTATCTGAGCAGTGTGTTTTAAAGCATGTATCTAATAAAATATAAGGGCTCAGATGTATATGCCAGTCAGCTTTCATAGAAAGTCCTTAGGCAAAAAAGGCTAATATCTCTTTAAAAAACATATGAAGGCTGGGAGAGAGTTTAGAGCTAGCAAGAGCACCATGGTGTTGACAGCTTTATATCCCTGCTGGGTAACATTCACTTACTAGAATTGGCGTCCCCTCTCAGCTAGTAATTCACTCCATAAGGATTTTGGAAAAGGATGATTAATGGTGGGGAAATTTATATTTGTGAAATTGTTGATTAAAACTTACAGATCTATTTGAAGTTTTAGGAAAAGAAGAGATTATTAAGGATGATGAAAATAAGAGTCAGATGATCCTTTTTACCACCATTAGCATAAGCACCTAAAATGTTCTGCTGTGTGGAATGCTTCAGCCACGCAACTTAACAGCATAAAATGAAAGTGATGCCAATCAAGTTTCCAGAGGAAGCAAGGTATTCTGCTTTTCTCCTGGACTACTGAAAGGTGCTGGCCAGTTGTGCTTTAATGGCAGTAAATTATTGTGCTTCATTCATTGTTAACACAAGCATTTTCGTTTTTTAATGTTTGGCTTAAAGAAGAACTTTTAGGCAGCTTTATTTAAACTGAATGAACAGCGCTTGAATATACCAGATGGTGTATTTGCTGATAGGAGGCATTAAACATCAGAAATCTTTTTGATATTTTTAATTTTCCTATGAATTTTTATGATTTTTTTGATGATAAATGTTCTAGATTTTAGGGAAAAATATTTAAACATTGAAAATATCTTTTAGAAAGATTTGCTTTTTTAAAAAAATTTTTGCTTATTTTTGAAAAATAATTTATGTTTTATAAATAACAATTTAATTTTGTTGGCATACTCTCTGTCGAAGTTATCTTATAACTAGACTACCCAAAGTAGACCTATTTGTGCTACCAGGCAGCCCTTTCAAGAACATAACTGTCTTGTTGCAAGGGGAAAAAAATCATTATGCAGTACACACTGATGTATTTAAATAGGGAAGCAAATGTGATCAAGATTGTTAGTCAGGGCCTCATTTCAAGCTGAACATTGTCTACAACAACAGTTAGTTTAATTGTCTACATGTGGAACATTTCCTTTCAGATGAAAAGAAATGTAGTTCGGGTCAGGTGTAGTCACCATATCAGCAACAGTAGAGAGACATTTAACTTTTTGAAAGGAATGCAGATATGAAAGTATAGATAGGTATATATGGAGATGTATAAAATACTTAGAAAATTAGAAATATATTTGTAAACATGGGTAAAATGGAGAAAACTCCATTTCCAAGGATGAATATCATAATACTTGTAGGAAGGACTCATTACTTCAAAAGAGAAAAGATTGCATTTCTCCCTCCCACCCACTTTTTTTTTCTTTTCTTTTCTTTCTTTCTCTCTCTCTCTCTTTTTTTTTTTTTTAAGGGTGTTAAGACCTTTTAAATAGAATGAACTTAGGCTTTGGGGTCATCCAGCAATCTAACATGTCCTCTGTAGTTTTGCTGAGGTAGAAAAATAACTCTTCTCTAAAGTGTTTTTGGTTCTTGGCCTGTTATTAAAATAAAGATATACTTGGTTAAAAAAATATATGCAATCGAACATACACATTAAATAGAACATAGGGTATCCGCCCCTCAAAATCCTGAGCATAATTTGATGTTTCAAGTAATTTTGGAAGCCTTATGTTCCATCAGCAGAAACCCACTGACCATTGTATATTCAAGATCATCTGTAGTGTTGTGTGTGTGTGTGTGTGTGTGTGTGTGTGTACGAACGACATAGATGTCTCTAAGGCATCTGATTTTTAACCCATGCAGAAAATAACCAATATCATCCTTTCCCAGAGGGTTGTAACCAGCAAAGTCTGTACATATGAGATATCTTGTGTGAATTCTTCTTTTCTTTCTTGAAA